TACTGCCATATAGTCTGTGAAGCAACGTTCAAGTTTGGTTTATTGGCTAAAGTTACAATAATGGATGAATGTTACTTGAAGATTTATGTACCTTCCTTGAGATCTGTTTACAGACCATAAGAGGTGCTGCCTGGGGATGAAGTCTAGCACTGCAAATGTGTTAGTTCAGCTGTCTCCTTGCTGCTGATTATTGTTGTCAGGTGAGCATGTCTTGTGATACATATTCCCATCCCAGCATTTGAGAATTCATACACGGAGATCCTGTTAGTGTTGGTCTGAGTTGTGATGAGAAAACTAACTAAATTCACATATCTTTGGGAAGGCATCCTAGCAATTTGGGGATGCAAAAAACCTGTATGCAAATGTGTAAATAGGCATTTGTGCATGCAGAATACATAAATGAGCATTTAACTACCCAACTTCCACTTAGATAAATATGAGCTTTGCACATGGGGATTTTATGTGCAGACTTTGAGGTCACTTTTTGAAAAAAGAGCCCTTTTTGTTCAATTCACACTAATTCTCAGGCTTTCCTTTTCAGTAGTATACCAAAGCACTTTCCTTTATGAGATATCCTTGGTATGGGAAACTGCCATATTGTGAGGAGTGGTGTTTGTAGCTGTGTTGGTCCCCGGATATTAGAGAGACAAGGAGAGTGGAGTAATATTTTTTTAGTGGACCAACTTTTGTTGGTGAGAGAGACAAGCTTTCGAGCTTACACAGAGCTCTTCTTTGGGTCTGGAAAACTACTAGGTTTTCCAGACCTGAAGAGGAGCTCTGCGTAAGCTTGAGAGCTTGTCTCTCGGACCAACAGAAGTTGGCCCAATAAAGGGTATTACTTCACCCACCCTGTTTTTCTAATATTGTAAGGACTACAGAGGGGCAAAACATTCATGGCAAAAGTTTTTTGATTAAATTCACAAGTGTAAATTTTAAAAAAACTACCAGGGGTGAAGATGGCAATACCAGTTTACCCTCGCCACCCCCAGAAAACAAACGGGGGGCCAAATTAAGAGGTGTTGAATAAAGTGGTGTAAATTAGACCACTCTGTACCAATGTTTACTGCAGTCAAAAGTGGTGTACCGTACATTTTCAAGCTGCTCAATGTGCAAGTTAAAGTACTGTATATAGAGGTCTAATCCTGGCCCTAACACTGAGGCCCAATGTCATCCAGAAAAAGTAGTGACATCACTGAACCTCCATTTTCTCATTTGTAAAATGGAGATAGTGATATTTCCCTACTACAGTGCTTGTCAATGTTAATTGTGTGTAAATGTAATAATGCTTGTAAATTCTTTGAATGCCCACTGATATAATTCACCAGACCACCTGCCTTTTAAGGACATTGCCTTTTTACTGAATTTTTGTTGTTGTTCTTGCAAACTCTTAGCTAATTCTCCTCTTTCAAATTTCATGAAAATGTGCTTTTTTTGTAAACGTTTTTTTTCATGCAAAAGGTATTTCTTGTGTGTTTTTCATATACGTCACTGTTTTAAAAAAAAATAACTGTTCAGTCTCTCAAAATCAAGGGGAAATTGCAAACCAAGTTAAAATTTTGCAAGAATTTTTGCTAAAGATTTTCATCAGTTTGGTCAGTCGTAGTGAGACCTCCTTATTGTAAGAGTTTTCCTTGATCTTTACCACTGTTATAAGTGAGTCAAACCTAGAATACTTCATGCTTTTATGTTCATTATATTCATTATTCTTTGTCAATATCTCAGGCAGGAGGATTAACTGCGGTAGTTACATAATCCTCAAAGTCATTACTTGAATTTCTAGGGATGTAATGTTAGTATGTTTTCAACCTGCCCTTTTCCCTGTGTTGTTTCATGTTTCTTTGAAATATTTCTATTCTAAACCACATCTTTTATTTAAGAAGAAGCTAAGCTTCCAAATTAAATGTGAAAATAGCCTCTTGTCCTTGGGGGTCGGGCTCTTTTTGTCAACAAACAATTTAGTGAAATCCTGCAGGCTTTACAAATGTACAGGTCCCTTGTAAGATGAAGTGATCCTCTTTAAGAGCTCATCTACCAGAGAAACTCCATTTTCTAAGCAGACAGCATCAGGAAGAGTTTTGGCATTTTTTAATGGTTTCAGAACTGATTAGAAACTTTCAGCTGAAAGCCTCAGAAATCAAACACACAAACAAAAAATAGATGCATGGGTTGTTCTATGGCAGTGGTTCCCAAACTTGTTCAGCTGCTTGTGCAGGGAAAGCCCCTGGCGGGGCGGGCCAGTTTGTTTACCTGCCACATCCACAGGTTCGGCCAATCGCGGCTCCCAGTGGCTGCGGTTCGCTGCTCCAGGCCAATGGGAGCTGCTGGAAGCTGCGGCCAGTACGTCCCTCAGCCCGCGTCACTTCCAGCAGCTCCCATTGGCTTGGAGCAGCGAACCGCAGCCACTGGGAGCCGCAATCGGCCGAACCTGCAGACACAGCAGGTAAACAAACCAGCCCGGCCCGCCAGGGGCTTTCCCTACGCAAGCGGCGGAACAAGTCTGGGAGCCACTGGTCTATGGCTTTAGTTCTTGTATTGCTTTCCCTGGAGAAGAGATCCTAAAATTGCAAATATGTCCAATCCTGCAACAGATATTACCAAATGTAGGCCCTGATCCTGGAAAGATTCATACACATGCTTAATCATAATTTCATGATAGTCCCATTGATTTTAATGGCTCTACTCATGGCAGGAAACATGTGCTTGGTAGTATTTAAGGACTGAGCTCCGTGCAGGGTAGCTGCTTTCTTTTGTTTTACTAACCTGTACCTGTTTCTTCTCCTCGCCTATTCCTTTATTTGCCTTATTTTTTTGCCTGTCCCCTTCTTAAAAAAAGAAACTAATAGGCTTCTGCATCTGAACACATTATGAGAGGTAACAATGTTGATGAGAAATCCACTGATTATGCATACTTGAAATCTCCTTTCTGCTTTTGGGGACTGACCTACTAGTTTTGTTCAGTCTGGTATTAGTTTCTCAGAAGAGAGGACCTAGTTACAGGAGTGGGATGGGTAAGTTTTTGGAACAGTATTGGCTGTGTGCCTGTCTGATGCAGATGTTTTGATATTTTAATTTAGTTTCTTAACCAAGAACATTTTGGAAACCTGACAAAAGTGAACATTGAGATGTCCCGTCCCCCCCCTCCCCACGCACGCCCACACACCCTTCCAAGTATTAAGGCTGACAGGAGCCCAGCTTCTATTACTCTAAAGAATTATTTTAGAAGAATGTGAGATTTGTTTTGATATCTTTTTGTGCACCCTGGTATAAACTAACTTCAGGGTTCCAAAATAAGGTGTTGATGTCTTGTCTTCTCCTGAACAAATCTCCCCAAATCCTGAGCTTTTGTGACTCAATTCAGAAGTGAAGATGATTCCACTGAGGATTTTTATTTCTCTTAAGTAAATTCATAGTGCACATGCAGCCATTCAGTTTTTAAGGTCAGTAATTGTAATTTCCAGGAAAAGTGGCTGGAATTTCTAATACAAGTAAGCTACAATCCAGTTATGGTTGTATCCCATTACATACACATTGCTTTGGGTTTTGTTTTTTCCTGCTGAAGAAGGGTATTTCTTACTCATGTTATGTGCTCGGTGATGTTTACAAATACACTGGTGGAGGAGCTTACTCTAAGCTGTCCTTTCTTTTCGTTGATTTTATGGCTCATGCTTGCTCAATATTCTCAGTGCACCAGACACAAATATTTATTTCCCTGCAACTGGAACGTAAAGTAATGAAACATTGTAACACTCACTCCTTCCCTCTTGTGTGTGTGTGTGTGTGCGTGTGTGGGTTGCCAGTCCTCCGGGATTGTCATGTGATGAGACCTCCAGGAATATGTCCAACCAAAATTGGCAATTTGCGCGCGTGTGTGTGTGTTTAATGCATTTCATATTGTATCAGTTGCAGGTAATGGCCATCCTAGTAAAGGCTGCAGAACAGTTTCCATTGGAGTTCTGTGTTTACATGATCATGACTTTCCAAAGGGGTTACTTTTCGAGCTGACGTTGCCCAGGCTTTCTCTGAGTTCAGAAACTAATTGATTTGGAAAGTTTCAACAAGGTCTCTCTTAGCCATTCTTTAGAAAACTGAAAAGTACTTTTCCCAGCATAAAACCAACAATAATAATTTCTAACCGTTCTTCTGAGCAGGGCTACAGAAAAATTACTTGTCTTTGAAATGTGTCATGTACCTGGGCACCAATGAGAACTAAGCTGTTGTTTGGTCGGGGGGGGGGCTTTAATTTACCAACATGACAAATTTTTGATAACTGCAAATCATGTTCAGTACAAAAATTTCCTATTTCTACAAGTGCACACTTAAGCATATCTGCATTCTGCATGCTTGCCCAATCAGCTACATGTGTACCAGTAGCTAGGTAAGGGTTCACTTGTTAGTTTATTTTTTTAGCACATTGTTGATGCTCTGCCCAGTGCTTCACTTTTCTCAGCTTCCTTTATAGATGTAGCATACTGTTACTCTGCGCTTGACTTATTAATGACCCTTGACTTATTAATGGACTGTGGCCAATATGTAGTCAGCCAGGAGGGGCAGAAATGTTCAGTTTGTCCCCTGCTCCAGTGGGAAACTTGGCCCACTGAATCTCTTGTTAGAAAAAGAAAGCAGCATAGGCAGAAGAAATCAAATGTACACAAATTTTCTTGTCCTAATTGTCTTTAATTCTCTCAAGTAGAATCAAGTTCTGTGTCAGCTGTATAGTAGCCCAAAGAAAATAAATCTGTGTAGTACTATCAACAACTGATCAGCTGAAAATATTCTAATAGACTGAGCAGTCAGAGTGGTGATACCATGTCTAGCTCATTAGTCACGGACAGGGTGGATTTGATTTAAATCCACGATTTAATCAATTTAATTAAATCAGGAAGACTCGATTTAATCATGAATTTCTTCATAAAAGTGCATTCTTGTTTGTAATAACCTTAATACATATTCTTCACAACTCAGATAGATGTAGGTTTCATTTTTAGAAGGTACACACTATACGTTTTTAAAGTGATTTATTATGAAAACTTTTCAGATTAGTTTTACAGCTATATCAGAAAATGAATGATTGTTCGGTTATTTCATTTACCAAAAACAATTGAAGCAGATATTTATGAAGTCATTGGGAGGTAAACTATCTCCAATTCAACAGGTTAATCATTAATATTTGGAGGATTTTCTTGCCATGCTGTATTAGGCGGAGAACATCACCAGACAAACATTTAAATTGTTTTATTTAACTGAAACAACAACATTATGTATTCTGGATTTTTTTCTTCAACAGCAAATATATAATATTTTAACAAAACTAAATTCAAAAATTCATATGCTCAACATTCAAGTTTTTTAAAATCAGGTTTGTTTTTGTTAAAATTGTTTTTATCTAAAATAGTTAAACGAAATATTTTTTTAAAATAAAAACAAAAATTAAATTGTCCGTCAGCCACGTCAACATGAAAAACTTAAAATATTGGCTTCTGCAGCTAACTCAGTCATTTTCCCCTTCATTTTCCTGTTTGTTCATAATCTGGAAAAGAAAAACAAGCTTTTCTGCTTTTTCAGGTCCAAACGATTTCTCAATTTGGAATGAATTAGTCGAATGGAAGAAAATATTTTTTCTACACTGGCAGAAGAAGCTACTGCTGTTAAAAGTGAGATTCACTTCAATAGTCTCTGAATCCAAGTGCTTAACTGATTTTCACCAGTTCACTGGTGTGACTTTCTGTAAAACATCACCCTTCGCTCTGAAGTTTATTATAGTTGGCATTCTGGAGGGATGATTGCTGGATGTTCATGTCGTAGCCAAGTCCTCTTCTTCAGCAGTTAAAGTTTGAACCTGGTACCAGGTATTGAGAATATTTGCAAGAAGATGAGCTGGAAATAGTGCTTGTCCTGTTTTTTTTTAATGCTTATAATTTAACTCTGTCATTGCATATTTCTCTTAAGATCTCACCCAGTTCTTTCCAAATTTCAACAGCATCAGCAATAAAACTGCTATTTCCCTGCATTTTGATCAAGGCTACAGAAATAGGCTTCAGGGTACTCAGCATGTGTTCAACATTTCTCTTAAGCCCAGTGTTGAGAGCTTTGGCTGTAACAGTGCCATCTATTTTTTCCACGATTTTGTTCACAAACTGTCATCAGAATAGGCCAGTTCTTGATCTAGTGCTCAACACAGTCCACTGCTGAGTTCCATCCCACTTTTTTCGGAGCAGCTGCTGCGAAGTGGATGTTATGGAACTATTTTGCAATTTCAACAACATTAGCCTTTATTTCTGGAACACTGAAGTCTTTGCCTAGGAGGTGCATCAAATGAGCACTGCAACTGTATGTTGTTAGCTTGGAACTGTCTTCTAAATAATTTCTTCTCATCTTGGATATATTTGCAGCATTGTCTGTGACCAAGCTGCGTATTAGATATTTTAATTTTTTTCACACTTTGTTATAGCTTTTTACTGCTACTTCTTGTAAGTATTCTGCTGTGTGTGCATTTCCTGATGTATCAGTTGTTTCTGTGAGGAAGACATTCCCTTCTTCTGTTGTCACACAAGCACATACAACAGGATCATTGTGGACATTGCTGCACCCACCAAAACTCAGGTTAACAATTTCACCCTCTAGACCATTTGCACACTGCTCAATTTCTCTTTCATACACTTTATCCAGCAATTTTCCTGTGACCTCTGTTCTGTTGGGAGGAATGTATCCTGGTCTTAATGACTGAATCATGTTAATGAAGTGTGGGTTCTCAAAAATACAGAAAGGAGAGTTTGTTGCATAAACAAACTGTGCAATTTTTTCATCAATTACCTCTTTTTGTAATCTGCTGGTTCTTATCACAAATTTATTTATGGTTGTTCCTGGATGATGGAGGTTTTTTTCTTTTTGCTACAGGTGATATACTGTGGTTATGTGACATACATGATACGACTGAAACATTATCACTGGCAGATAACTCTGAAACTATAGAAAATGATGGTGATCTTGAAGGTGGATAGTCTTCAGAATCCTGTATGTTGAGGATGGATTCTCCTAAACAAAATAAGTCAATGCAGTTTTTTAATTATTATTACCATACTGCTCATTTAGTATTACTCATTGCATTCACTGACAATCAGTACTACTATAAAGGTGAAATTGTAAAAGGAAGATCTGCCTGTCTTAGCTAATTATTTTTATCATATCTGCATCTAAAATGATAGTACCGTAGTAACAACTATATTTTTTGCTCAAACATGAGAATTCAGTAATAGTCCAGAAGGAAGATAGGCAGTCCTTAAGAAAGACATATGAAATAAAAAAAGTTTACCAACCTGAAGATCCTGTATGTTCAGACATGTTCCTTTCATCTTCAACGCAGCTTCCTCCTGAGAAGGATCACTTCTCATGATGTTTCATTGGGGCAACCAGGCCTTGCATTTCTTTGCTGCACTGTTTGCATTTTGCATGCATGCCTGTCTTACCCACAGGTAGAGGAACTTCATTAAAATATTCCCAAACTGGGTCTCTTTTACAGCCTTTTTATATAGGTGATTATAGGTTTTCCCTTCTAGTGAGAGAATGGTATGATAGATCTCAAATCAATGACGGCTACACACAGAAAGACCTCAAGACTTCTGGAATATGCTGCTCCAACAGTTTCACTTTTGTTTCTACTGCCTGTCCCTCCCTTCTCACATTTATCTCCAGACTTCTCCTTGTCCAGATCTGTTCTGCCCCCAACTATCTTCTATTCATTAACTTTTTGAAACTTTGCACTTTTAGGGAGAAGTAAGGGATTGACCCTATGTACATAAATTTTCAGAGGGACAATAGGATTGAGGTATGTTATATCTCACCTCTTTCTTTCTCTCTCTTTCTCTCTCTCTCTTATTTTAAAAACATTTTTGCTGTTAACAAGCATGTTATCTCTGGAGACACAAATTCACAGTTTGGGAACTGCAAAACTAAGCATCTCTGATGGTATCTTCTAGACTGAGCACTGAGTCTCATTGGGTAGATAGAAAGATTAACCTAAATAATCTATACAGAAGCCCCTGGAACCCCATAAGATTGGGTCCCTAATCCATGAACTATTGGAACTCATTTACAAAACTTTTCTTAAACATTACATGAATATATTGTCTCACACTGTAGAATTAGAATTTATAATCCCTATTCCATGGTGAGATATCTTTGAGCTATAATGTATCTGAATTAAAACTATCTTTAGCTAGGTTTTTTCCTCAAAAAGCATTTTATCAAAAACGTCCAATTTAAATTTTAAAAAATTCTTTTTAAAAAAAAATATTTTTTTTTATCCACCCTGGTCATGGAAGGCCTGATTCTGCCACATTTCATGCTGAGTAGCACCTTACTCTGCAAACCTGCTCACAGAGCAAGGGACTACTCAGCATGAATACATGAGGCAGAATCAGGCCTGGGCTTTGAATTGAAATCTATGTTCTATCTGGATGTAATCTTATAATTTAAAATGGAGACTAATCATTTGGTAATCTTTCATCCTACATCAGTTTTTTACACGAATAGCATTTCTTATTGAAAAAGATAATTAGGCCATCTATTCAAATGCAATCTTACTGTAGAGAGGTACATCAAATATGTTGGTACTGGTTGAGGAACCTGTTCAAAGAACAGGTATATTGACAGTGACTAAATTATCATGACCTCAAGGTCATCCATCAAATGCATAATCTTATTATAAATCTAAGGTAATCTTTCTTGGCCAGGTATGTGCTTTGGCTCCTAGTAGTCTAGAAAGAATTTGTATCTAACGATTCATACTTTTAATCAAAATCTCCAAACTTTATTGTAAGAGGATTTAAAAAGTAAAATAAAAAAATCATTTTAAATGTAACATTTTTAGAAAGTTTAATATAAAATAATATACAACAATGGGATAGAATTTTCATCACTTTGTGTATCTCAAACTCTTTCCCAAACAGATGTGTTCCATTTATATGGCCCGCCTCCATTACCATGGTATCTATTAATATCTGAGATTATCAAAGCTTCATTGATTGTCTTAACCAAAGTTTGTGTGCACACCTCACTGTTTTCTCTCACCCCATCTGTCATTATTTATTATACAGGATATGAAAAACTCATATCAGGTTGCATAGAAAGAAGATGGAAAATAATTTGTACCAGCTACTGGTGTCCGGATTATGATCCATACACTACTTCATTCTAGTTGCCAGAAGTAAAATATGAGGGAAAGTCAAGTGGTCTGGTTTTTAGTATCCTCTGCATCTAATATTGGATCATAAATGGCTTTTGTATTACTTTTTTTATGAACTTGTCTAGTAACAACTGAAGGTAAAACATAAAATCCTTCACTCACAGTGAAAATATTGTCTAAGATTAGCAGTCTGTTACTTTGTGGATGGTTTCCCCCCCGCCCCCCTGCGCACACACACTTTCTGGCAAGACCCACCATTTTGTTTTTCCTTTCCTGTGATAGTGGCACTCAACATTTTTAGGTGCCAGTGTACCACTTATAACTGGTGCAATGAGTCAGAGTCTCAAAACAGAGTCTCTGTTGCTGGGCATAAATTATATTTTAAATCTGAATATTTTAGTGTGTTAAACTATATGTAGTTTTAGTACTCCATTTTGCAGATTGTCTATCACTGCCATTTCTTCAGACTGTCGGGGCAGTGTTGATCTTAAACTGCTACTGTCCATGCTGTTCCTGTTCTGTCTCTAAACAGAGGACATCATTCTTTTTGGCTGGCAATCTGGTACCTTTCAGACTTCTAAATTTATTTGAGACAATGTTAAAAATAACAATTCTTTGTCATGTCTTTTATAGTAATTAAAAGACATTTTAATGGCTATTTGCAATGAAAAAGAGTTTGGGAGCCTTAGCAATTAACTGATTTTTATAATGCGGTGTAAACAAAAAGCCACATTTCTGTGTAGGAAGTGAAGAGTTATATTCAGTAGGAGAGCAAGGGGGGTTGCCCTATGTTTGGTGTATCCTTGGTTTATAAATCACCTTTTGTGCACGGTAAAAAAGAAGAAAAGGCTTTGTCTTGAGTATATTTGAGAGATTTTGAAGTGTGCGTGCTGATATTTAAAGATGAGCAATCATGGTAAACCTTGAGGACCTTGAGCCAAAATAAAAAAATTTAAAAAAACCAACCTTCAAAACAATGACCTTATTTTGAGCTCACTTGTAAAATCTAGTTTAGGCCACTCTTGTACATTTGGTCCAATTGAGTATAGTCTGTTCTTTCTATTTGAGATGGATCAAACTTCAAAGTTCAGCAGTGTTCAGCTACAAGGTTTTGTTCATATCTAAATCTACTCGTAAGTTGTTACACGTTCCAAACTCATTGGATAGCAGGCAGGTATAAGAGACTATATCCATGAGCAAACCTGTCCAACAAAAGAATATTCTGTAATGAAAGAAACACTGTAGTCCATGAGTCTGATTCTTCTCCCTTCAAAGTCCATCATTTTATTCCAAAAGGCGCAAGATCTGGCCCAATGCAATATAGAACCACTTTTCCCACTAACTTTGGAAATAAATATTTGCGTTAAAGATGTCACAATTTTTGTGATAAAGAAAGCATATTAAATGGATAGTTTTCTATTAGTATATGAGCTTTGCTTAAAATCAACCTTCTTTACTTGAGAGATGTTGTCACGGCTAGAAAAAAATATGAAATGGGGTTAGGTGACCTGGGATAATGGGGTGTGGGGGAAGAGGGGTTATAGTGTGTTTAAATTTAAAGTACCATTTTATTGCCTGCAATAATCCTAGTAGTACTAAGACTGCATTTCTAAACTACAAAAAGGTTTTACAGTGAATATGATTTACAGAATCCCAGACAAAGCTTGCTTATAAAGGGATACCTTTTGGCAGTATGTTGCCAGTATAAAGAAAAATTACTGTTTTCAGTGCTGTATCTGTGACAGTGTAATTCACATCTCCTTTAAGTATAAGCTCTGAAACAGTATAACTTCACTGAGTATTGTCTAATAATTGAGGCAAAGGGCCAAAATTTGCCAAATAAGTGAGGTGGTTATGCTTGTTTGGCTTTTTGTCTTTTAGTAACAATCTGTTGGCTAAATCAAGTAGCATTGGTTGACTGACTAAACCATTCAAATATTTTTATGAGACAAGCATACACCAGTTTTCTTAAAGCGTTATAAGAAACATTTGGCTAAATGACTGACTGAACACCATTTTAGCCATGAATATCCTGAATTAGTGATCAAGGATTCTGACTAATGAATATCAAATGTGTGCCTGTTCGTCTTTTTATATATATATATTTTTCACATTGCATCAGTGATGTTTTGATGGACAATTGCACAGATTCCAGTATAGTGTATGATTTATCCTGCAGTCTATTTTTCACTCCTTGTTTTTCAATGCTGTGTACAGGATGTACAGAGCAGGATGTCAGCAGGATGTCAACATTGTATCAATCAGTAGGCTAGTGGCCCCACATATGCTGTAAATCAACTCTCTAACCCTTATCTGGAACTGCCTGGTTGTGTTTACTGTTCTGTGCTAGTTAACATAGTCCCCGAAATGCTTGCACATTTTTATTTGACAATATACCACGATGTACTAAGAGATGGGCAGATTTTTTTTTCAGATGAATAGTTTATTTGCTGAAAAATTCACTTTCAGGTTGACCGCAACTGTTTGCAAATTTGACATAAATTCACCAAATAATTCCTGCCAAAAATAATTTAAAAAAAAAATTGGCTAGATGCACAAGGGAACTTTAGTGCCATTTGAGGAGGCGGTGCCCCCTCATGCCCAGCCTAAATCATTAAGTCCTCCATAAGGTCTGGAATGTAGTATGGAGTCCAAGATGTTACTTTTATAATAAATCTTCCAAATATTCTTGTATGGATTGACTTCCTTTTTTACGTGCATGAATGTAGTTGATATGCCAGCATTATCTTTAGGAGTACTTTATATATAGTTATAAAATATTGAAAGTGTCATGATCATCTTTTCCATCTGTTTTTTCTAAAGGTTGAATAAAACAAAGATTTTAATACCTTTACAAATTAATGAAGAGAAGTTAAGGAGGAGCAAATTTAGTAACTAGTTTTTGAAAGGCTAGTGTAATCCTATGTTTTTTTTCAGCATGCCCCTCTCCAGCAGCTCTGGAAAAGGGGCAGCTGCTGTAGGCATTGTCTCCTGCCTCTTTACTAGAAGGTGCTTTATATTTAAATTGCTGCTTTTAAAGAAAAGATCTTTTTAAGTCCACAGCTGCCATTTATGTAGACTAAATGCCAAGAAATTAAATAAAGTCTTTAAAAGACCAAAAAAGGGGAGAATAAGGTTAACTGATGTATAGCTGCTCCAGTTAGCCAAATGAAAAATTCTGGAGGTATATTGGAGTCTGTATCATTATCTTAAACAGCCAACACTATTTTGTTCTGTTTAAAATAAACTCGAGTAGTACCTTCCATTTTGATTTATTATTTTTTTTAAAAAACATCTCACAATTTACGGTACAGCATATTCTTCTGTGTGCTCTTTGCATCTTTTTGAAAAGTATGGTGATAGCATATGAAACCTGTTTTTACATTTTTTGTGGGGAGGTGGAGTTGGAGAAGAGCTTTAGTATGCAGGTTCTGAAAACAACAGGAAGAACTTAATATTCCGCCTTCCCATTCATGACTCTTATTGGTGTGTGCTTTTATCAGAGTGAAGCATGACTGGTGGGGGAGGTTGTTTTTTAAATCAGATTACCTAACAGTTAATCTGGTTTGTTCGTGCGTTCATGGAGGGTGCTGAGTTGCAGCAGCTCATTCAGGAACAGATTCTGACAGAGGGAAATCACTTTTGAGAGCAGGCTGTTTCAATCAAATGCCTTCCTTTTACTGATTTGTAGGATTAAATTTCAGATGGTTGCCTATGGAACCTGGCATTAATAGGCTATGCATTCATCACATTAGCTCTTCTCCTCAAATTCCCTTTTGAAAAGAAAACAGAATTGTAAAATAGTCTAGGTAGGCTGCTTTTGATAAACTGTGGTTCCGTGATTACCCCTCACCACCTTTTCAGTAATGTCATACATACAAGGGTCAGACTTAAAAAAAAAAAAAAAAAATCCCTATTTTATGAGTTTTCCCTCTTATCTTACTAGATAGTTCCGAAATGAGCTGGAGTTCATAAATGTGGTTTTTAGCTTCCTGCTTTAAGAAAATAAAAAAACAAATAATTACTTCTAACAGTGCACATTCAGGCCATAAAGCAAATCCATCCCAAATAAAAGGGAAATACCAAACTTCCGTTTAGCACTGTTCATTGCATTATCTTCCTCTTATTTCAGTCAAGTCCATTCCTATCACTTGTTTGCAATAAGTGGTAGATCATGATACAATATGACATCCACAAAGCACAGGTTGGTTTGAATGTCAATACCAATGAATGAATAATGCAAGCTTGTTGTCGCCATCTTTTGTTACCAAAATAACAGAGGACAAGGGAGGCTCAAAGGATGGGTATAGTTGATGTTGAGTGAACCTGTATGGTCTAAATGTTGTTAGTCTCCCCTCCCCCATTGTATTTATTATTTTGTATTGCAGTCGCATCTAGGGGGCCTATCAGTTTCAGGGTAACTGCACCTGTATTCCTTCTCCATGGTCCCTCCAGGGCACCCAGTTCAGGTTTCTGGCTCCCAGCCATGAGTTGTTCCAGCTGGAGACCTCTGTGTCTCTCCCTCCTGACCTGGATTTTC